GTGCAGATATGACCAGGTGACTCCCTATTTAAACAAGTCTGTTGGCTCCCTATGACTTCGAGGATAAAATGTGAGGTGTCCCCAGAGTCTTAATGAAGCTCAAAGCTATTTATGCTTAGCTGAAAACTGCTCTAAGACTTTTGGGACACCCTACATAAAGGCTGCTGTTTAGCTTTAAAAGCCATACACAATCTAGTCCCAATCTATCTTTGCAGCCTCATTCGCTACAGCTTCTCCCCAACCCCTCTTTGATCCAGCAAAACTGACCTTCCCACTGCGTGTTCCTATCTCACAGCTCTCTATCCATGTCCCTGCACCCTGCCATCCCACGTACCTGAAACGCATGCCCTCCCTACCCTTACCTAATAGAGGAATCCCTCTTTTCCTTTAGGGTGCAGCTCAGGCACAATCTTCCACCTGAAGCCTTTCCTGATTTCTCCAACACTTAGCGCCCTCCCTCATCCCCTCAAACAACTTTATATAACATATATAAAGAGCTCTGCACAAACCTTAACAAGCCTATATATAAATGCTAACTGTTAATTATCAAATGGGCCAAAAGGTGGAGCAGTGGGTAGAGGACTGGGCCTGGAGTCAGGAAGAGTCTTCTTGAGTTCAAATCTGGCCTCAGACATTTGCTAGTGCCATGACCTTGGACAAGTCACTTAACCTTGTTTGCCTCAGTTTCCTCATCTGCCAAATAAGCTGAAGAAAGAAATGGCAGACCACTCCAGCATCTTTGCCAAGAAAACCCCGAAGGGGATCACGAAGAGTTGGATATGACCAAAGAACAACGGAACAATCACTATTGTATATATTGCTATTTATTCATTTGATAGTTCTGCGGTAGATATTGTTATACATACACGTTGTCTCCTTTGTTAGAATACAGGCTCCATTTGGGTAGGCATCGTTTCCCTCTCTGTACCTGTATCCCTAGCACCTGGCACATAATACACATTTCTAAATGCTTGTGGATTCATTTCCAGTAGTACCTCTCCATGAATGTCACTCTGAGCTGACACCCTGAGCTCTTGCCCAAGAGTCTCCCCTGTACAAATGATGATTCAGAAATTCTACCTCATACTCAAGTACAATATCTTACCACCAAATGGCTCACTTTCTTGACTTTCTCATTTCTATTAATGGTGCCAGAATTCTCTCAGACCTTAACTCTCAATGCCATCTTTGACTTCTGGTTGTTCTGCACAATTTAGGGTAGGTACTCCACACATGTTTGGCAGTAATGACTTCTCTCTCCTCTTTCTCACTGATGTACTTCTCAGCCCACCACTTTTACCAAAAACAGCTGTTCCAACCTCGGAAAGCCTTTTGTATCCATCCACTCCTCCCTGTTACTTTCCGTTCTCACTTGTTGTCACCCTCCTAATTGGTTTCGCCTGCTGAAATCCATCTTGTACATTCTAAGTCACTACCAAATTATTCTTCCTGAAATGTTGATTCCATCAGGTCCCTTACCACTAGCTCTCTATTGCCAGGGGGAAAGCCAAACTCAGCTAGATTTTCAGGGTTCTCCAGTTTTCTAACTTGTCCTTCAGGGCTGACCCACAAAAAGCCTCTGTTTTGCACCAGCCTGGTCCAGCTGAGCCTTTACTCCCATTTTACACTCATTTGGAATGTCCTTCCCATCCCACCTTCCTCTGCAACATGGTACAATGGGTAGATTATATGCATGCGTTCATTTATTCTTCTCATCTGTGCCCCCCCCCCTTTTTTAAGGTCTTAGTAGTATCCATCCGAAGTGTGTGAAGTACATCCGGACTCACATCCTTAGTATGGCTGTCTGTCCCTAAGCAAGTCCTAACTTCTCTCAGCCGGCTTCCTCACTTGAAAAACACAGGGGAGAAAGGAGGTAATGTCAGTACCTGCCTCAGTGGTTTATGCGTGCCTGAAATACCACATGTAAAATGTTTTGCAAACCTAAAAACATTTCATAAATGAATTATTCCTCCCTCCCCCACAAAATGTAAACTCCCTGTAGACCGAGCTATTTCATTTTTGTTTCGTACTCCCAGGATTTTGCATGGTGCTTGACACTTAGTAGGTGCTTAAATAAATTCTTGTTGATAGAGTCCATGTAAACCCTAGCCATGCTGCCTCCTCTGGGAAGCTATCTGTATCTGTAGTGATCTCTCCCTCCCTCTAAACTCTTACAATGTTGATAGCACATGCCTTTCAGGGATCACAGATTTAGAGCTGGCCAGCACTCCAAAAGCCATCAAGTCCAAAGCCAGAGAATTGAAGTCATTTGCCCAAGGTCACTAGGTAGTGACAGAAACAGGATTTGAACCCAAATCACCCAAATCTCTAACTCATGCTCTTCCATTGTATCCTACTACAGACTGCCTTCTTCTGCTTAGGTCAATGTTTCACATGGGGGTAGGTGTGCACAAGAGGAGTCATATGCCTATTAAACTCATAAAGCCATTCCGTGACCCTTCTGCCATTTTCCCAACTGCCTGCCAACCCTTTGTCTACCTGTTCACCACTGGCATTGCCCCCCAGAGAGATCATGGGCCCAGTTACAAGATGGAGGTTGTCTGAACTAAAGTTCATCTTTTCTGATGGGTTGGGGCTCCCTAAGACCTATTGCCAGTGGTAATCACACAAACCAGCACCCCCACCCAGGTGCTCCCCAGTTTGAATATTTTTAGAGGACTCACTGAAAAAGGTAACAATATTCTCTCAGTTGTTTCTCCTGTAGCAGGCCAACATTTCTCAGAAGCACAACAATGACTCCTCTATTCGTTTACGCCAGCATCTGTTTATGCATTTGCAGATGCATCCAGCTTCCTCAGAAGATTAAACTGAAATTTTCATGGAGCTCTGAATTGGGGCTGACAGCCTTTTCTAGCTTTGATTCTAAGAAATAACACACCCAGTCTTTTCCTCATGACACTGACTGAGACTTGGCAATATTTTTAAATACTGGCTGGCCTATGACATTCACTCCTTAGAATGAGAGTTTTCTTTTTTGGCCTATCTTCAAATGAACTACTGTTTATATTTTTAAATTTGAATTCAATTTAAAAATAGAAGAAGATAAAGCAAAAATCAAAACAAAAAAAGCCCTTTTCACCTGCATTTAAAAACAGCAGATCCAAGTAAATGTTCACTCTTTGCTAGGTCAAAGAGTGAACAGCATGCCTGCTCAGGTCTTTTTTTTTTTTCCATTTATGCAAACAGGTCTTATGTTAAAATCCACCTCCCCCAGGTGTACCACGTGATCACTTGTTACTTCCAGTGCCTACATTGCCCTGGCTGTGAACAGAGGGTGGTCTCTTCTTTCGGGCTCACAGTCTAAGGTGACAGCACATTCTGAAACTGCCAGGGGTCAGAATCCCACCGGGCGTCCCCTCCCCACTTGTTCCTTGCCATTGTAAGAAAGTGGAACCAGCCAGTCCTTGGACTCCTGGTGCTGGCAGAACTCCATGATCAGCATAAAGGGCCACTTAAGGTCCAAAATCCCCGGTGTTATTAAGAGTTGAGGGTACAAAACCTTCCTAGGGCTGGATGAAGGGAAGAAAACGAGGGGAGACCAGAAGGCAGAAAGAAAAGTGAGCACTGATATCGAGGAAACTGACCAATCTGGAATAGAAGGTCTAGGCTAGGGACCAAGAAGGCTGAACAAAGATGGGTAGGGAGGAGGGGTCCAACTGAAATCCTGAAAGCAATATAGAGTCCTCTAAACTTGAATCCCTGAAATGTGGAACCATAAAAGAAGAGTTTACACAGGTTAATTTGGAGGATGTGTGCAGAACATACTGGAGTAGAAACATCCAAGAGGCAGGGCTCCCACCACCATCTCTTTGGGAATGAATGACGAGGACAGCTGACTGTGAAAAAGAAGGAGACGTTTTAAAGGAAAGAAATGATAGAAGTTGATGGTGGATGAAATGTAGGGGATGAAGATGGGGACGATCACCAACAGAAATGACACAGTTAGCAAGTGAAGGGGGCAAGCTTAATTCGCCACAGACCAAGTTTGAGATAAGACACTGGGACACTGAAGTGAGAACATGCACTATGTAATCAGACATTTCCAGTCTCTAGTCTCTGAATCCTGGGCAACTAGGTAGCACAGTGGATACAATGTATCAGGAAGACTCCTCTTCCTGAGTTCCAATCTGACCTCAGACACTTCCTAGCCGTGAGACCCTGGACAAGTCACTTCACCCTATTTGCCTCAGTTTCCTTATCTGTAAAATGAGCCGGAGAAGGAAATGGCAAACCACTCCAGTGTTTTGCCAAGAAAACCCAAAAGGGGTCAAGAAGAGCCAGACATGACAGAAAACACAACTCAACAATAACAAAAATCTGTCTGCCCCTTAAGGTTGGGAGGCTCATCTCGCTTCACCTGACCCTTGGGAGTCCTTACCATTCTTCAAAGTTCTGCCCAGGCACTACCTCCTGTGACACCTTCCTCTTTACTACCCTCTCCCCTCTTGGCTTTTACCCCCTCTTTTCTGTCTGTTCAAATGTCCAGGTACATATGGCCTGTTCCTCATCTCCATCTGCTGAACTGAGTAGTGTCCATGTTATAGCCTCCAGTGGAAAGTAAGCTACTTGAGGGCAGGGCTTACCATTTGTGTTTATTTACATGTTTTTGCATCTCCAGGCACTGAGTCTCAGAGCTCTGGATTTAGAGTCAGTGACCCGGCTTAAAACCCTAGGTCTGTTATTACTGTTTCCTGCCCCTTTGCTTCCTCGACTCTAAAACAAAGGCAGTGGATTCAATTAGGAGTTCTCAACCTGGAGTCTAGGAGTATTTTTTTTAACAAAATATGTTGATCACTGTATTCCAATGTAATTGGTTTCCTTTGTAAACCTAAACATTTTCTTTTAAAAACATTTAAAAACAGAGATTTCTGCAGACTGCCCAGTGGGTCCCTGACAGTAAAGGCTGAAGGACTGCTGGATGAAATGATCTCCAAGGTCCCTTCGCATTTGAATCGATGATACTCTCATGTTACAGATGAGGAGATCAAGGCCCGGAAGAAGGTAACATGCCCAAGGACCTCCAACCAACAAGCAGCAGAGCCCCCATCTGAACCCATGTCCTCTGACTCTAGACTTCACGTTAATTCTTGCATTTGTAAGATTATTAGGACAGATACTTTCCTGATGAGAAAACAACGACAGAGGCTCAGAAAGTGTATGCCTTGGGGTAACATAGAAAGTAAGTGACAGAAAGCAGACCAAGGAAGACAGCTCTCTTCTGACTCCAAGTCCAGAGGTCTTTTCTATGATCCCACACGACCTGTCCTTCATGAGAAGACATTTCACCTACATTTTAGAACCTAGACTCTGCCCATAGGCAGTACTGGTGGAGAAGCTGGGGTGGGGAAGGGAGCATGTGCTCAGGGGGAGACAATGTTCTATTCACTAGGGCTCCTAATTTCTAACACAATGGGTTTTTTCTACTTGACTCGGTAGCCAAATAATTACCCATATAAGCACTTATTTCAAAAAAAAAAAAAAGGCTCCACAGTGCCCCATAATTAAGGAGGTCTGCTTAACACACCATACAGCACACAGGACTTCCGGTGGTCCAAGGATTCTCCACTTAAATGTAACTTTTCAGAAAAATGTCTGGACCCAACTCCAAGGATATTATGGTCAACACTGCCTTCAGATGAACAGAGCCAAGAAACCCTGCAGGTAATCTGCCTTTTTCTTAATAGGCCTAAGGCACTGAAAACAAAGCTATTATAAGAGGCTTGTTTTTTAACCACATGTATTGAAACTTAGGGTCATCAATTCTGCCTGCAGTATAACCAGATCTGTAGAAGAAACTGAGTGGAATTCGGTTTTCCACAGAAGCTGTGCCCCCCTCCTCGGATCCCACCCCATATTTCTAGAATGCATTCCCTCCTCACCCTTGCCTCTTAGCATCCCAAACTGCCTTCAAGGCTCAGCTGATGGACAGTCACTTCCTGAGGGAAGCCTTTCCTAAGGCCCCTAGACATCAGTGCCCTCCTATCCTCAAATCATCATGTATGCTGTCTATCTATCATTAATTCTCCCCAAGAGAATGGAAGCTACTTGAGGACAGGGACTATTTTATCTTTCTATCCTGAATGCCTATCATAGTTCCTGAGGAATGGGTCATTAATAAATGCCTGCTCTTAGTGTCACTCTTGTATATGCAGTATCTAGTGTAATGAGTAGGAGTAGGAGTAGTAACAATGATTTAAGATTTCTATAGCCTATCAGATATGTTACTTAAATTGAACTCCACAATGACCTTGTTAAGTAGGTACTATTATTATCTATTTTACTGTTGAGGAAACTGAGGCTAAGCAAGATTGAGTGGTCTGTCCAGGGTCACTCAGCTAGGAAGGGTCTGAGGCAGGATTGGAACTCAGGTCTTCCTGAGCACTTTATCCACTGGACCCCCAATGCTAGGCGCTGGACACCTATAGAGTCACTGTGGATGACTGGCTTGGAATGCGGTTCTAAGCGCATTCTGTGGACACACAGCATGGGAGAAGGGGCTGGTCTAGCTCAGGGGTCTGAGCCCGGCTTAGTCTTTTGGTAGCTTTGTGATCTTGGAGAAGTCATTCAACTTCTATGAACCACCTTCCTCCTTTGTAAAAGGGGCTTACCAACTGATCCCTGCCCACCTCCCTGTGGGGCTGTGAAGATCACATTGGACCCCAACTCAAAATATGTATCTTTGAGGCTACAAAGCACTTCTTAAGCATCCACTTCCTCCTTCTCCCCTCACAGGAAAGCTAAGAACAACAGTGAGTGGTTGAGAAAAGGCCCCCAGCCAGCCCCCAAGCGCAAGCAGCAAGAGGAGATCAGTAGGGAAACAGAGTCTGGAGAAAGAGTAAATCAAAGCATAGACATTGTAAAGGTATAAACCAAGGAGGAGAAACCTGTGTAGACAGGCACCCAGCTGAAGCGGGTTGGCGTTATTGGCTGCCTCCCCCCTCCCTAAAGCCCTGAAGAACCAAGTGTAAACAAGCCTTGACCCGTTTGTAATTTGATGGGGCCTGCTGCATCCACTCAAAAGTAGCCCCTGTTTCCGAGATGCTGCTGGGCTCCAAGATGGGGCTCACGTGCAGGGCTGTGGTCCTGAGGGGGGTGAGCACTGAACTGGCGAGGGATGAACAAGGTAGAGGGGGCTGGGGCTGGGGCTGGGGCCAGGAGCCAGGCAGTCGTCATGGCCACCAGGGGTTAAAGCAGTAGGAGCGCACAAAGAGACCCCAAGGGCACTCGCAGCCATAAAGGATGCCAATGCCGAGTCTGAAGAATCTAGTCATCAGAGAGAACAGATTATGGTACCAGCCTCAAGGTTCCAATCAGGATGCCAGTGAAACAGAACACTGAGATACCTATAGCAACCTGCTTGTAAACCATACCAATGTCAAGTTTTACAATTTGACCAGAATCTGGTTCAAATATTTGTACTGACTGTGCTTGGTACCTAGTAAGGTCTTGAGGGGGAGCACTGAACTGTATGGGAGAAATGTAAATGCTTAGAAACGTTTTTTTCCTTCAAGTATTTATTTCATTTTGAAAATGTTTGGGCAACATTCTTTGTAAAACATTTTGTGAAACAAAGAGAAAATGACAGAATGTAAGAGAGAGAGACAGAGAGGCAGAGACAGAGAGAGAGACAGAATGTAGAAACAAGAGAGGGAAGGGAGGAGAGAGGAATAGTATTGACCAGTTTGAGGGTATATTCCCACCCTCTCTCTGAGAAACTGAGGCTACTGCTCAAAACTAGCTCTGAGATTTTATCTTCGCCAGAAGGTCAGTGGAAAAGAGATCAGCCCCAGAGGACAACCCTGGTACTGAGACTCTGGAAATCCCGATCCTCCCAAGAACGAGTTAGAAGAGTGAGAGCCGGTTACTCTCAAAATGGCTTTCTGAATGAAGGGCCAGCTTTTAAAGAAGCCTCATTCATCTGTGGGCAGCAGTGATGGCTAACACAGCTGCTTCTTCCGAGAGGAGGGAAAGTAACTGACTTTATCCACGCTGGGCAACAAAGAACACTGACCACTTTCTGCAAAAATCATGAAAAATCAATGCACTGTTCACATCTGCCCAAAGCATCAGGGCTCGGGCTCTGGACTACACAAGATTCTTTTTTTTTTTTAAATAATATTTTCTTTTTTCTCAATTACACATAAAAGCAATTTTTAACAGTTTTTTTTTTAATTTGGAGTTCTAAATTATCTCTTTCTCCCTCCCCTGAGATGGTAAACAATCTGATATAGCTTATACATGAGCAATCATGCAAAACATTTCCCTATTCTTCATGCTGTGAAAGAAAACAGACCAAAAAGCAAGAAAGTAAACAATAGTATCCTTCGATCTGCATTAAGACTCCTCGGGTTCTTTCTCTGGAGGTGGACAGAACTTTTCATCACGAGTCCTTTGGAATTGCCTTGGATCACTTTTGGAACTGTGCTGGATCACTGCTCCACAAGATTCTTAAAAGCCTCAGTGGTCTAATCAGAGCCCTGCTGTTCCCCATCCCACTCCCTACAAAATTTATGTTGAAATCTGTGAGCTAAGAGTAAAAACCACGAGACCCAGCAGCCCGGGGAGGGGGGTGTGGAGAGCTGAGGAACAAATGAATCAGGGCTATCAAACTCAGCGCTGATCACCTTTCACATATCTACTTTAATGTGGAACAATCTGGCATCAGTGATTCAGAAATTATTATAAATGTCTTTCTAAGACATTCAAGTACTAACAAATGAATAAGAGAAGAGATTGGGATAGGAGCTGATAATGGAAAATTTGGCTGATTACTCAGGGAGACTTAAGTAGGAAGTGACATCATACGTACTCACTCCTGGGCTTAAGGGGTATTCTTGCTCGAAACAAAATGTACAGGTTTAATGTAATCACATAACTCCAGAGCTGGAAGGAATCTAAGTGGCCATCTTGTCCAAAAGGTACCCAAATAAGAATCCTCCCTACCCCAAGCCCAGCAACTGGTCTTGGGAGGTTTCTGCTTGATGACCTCCAGAGACAGGGAACTCACTACCTTCCAAGGCAACCCACTGCACACTAGGATAGTTCTATAGCTCAGGAAATGCTTCCTGCCCTCAAACCTAAAAACTTGTGTAATCTGTACTCATTGCTCCTAACTCTGCCCTCTGGGGCCAAGAGGTTCAAGTTTAATCATATTTTTTTCTTACGTGGCAACACTTGGAAAGAAAGACAGCCGCCATGACCACTCCCTAAATCTACCTACGGGACCAAACATCCCCAATTCCTTCATCATATCATCTTTAATCAGGAAGCTAAGGCCACTCAAAGACCAGCTATGTGCTGTTCTCAATTAAGTGGGTGGCTAGGCGGCGCAATGAATAGATTTCCATGCCAGGAGTTAGAAAGACTGCTCTTCCAGAATTCAAATCTGACCTCAGACACTTACTATTTATATAACCCTGGGCAAGTCACTTAAGCCTATTTGCCTCAGTTTCCCCATCTATAAAATGAACTCGAGAAGGAAATGGCAAAACCACTCCAATATTTTTTGCCAAGAAAACCTCCAAAATGTCACAACAAGACTGAAACTCTTGAACAACAACAACTCCGAACTGAGCAACACTCGTTTAATTTCAGTCAAGGTAGCCAGTGAATGATAATTACTTGCTAGCTACTGATACTAGTCCTTTTTTATAAAGTGTTAGTATAAGAATCAAATCACTGAGGGTCCCCCAAGGCTTTCAGAAGGGACAATCCAAACACATTACTGCTTACTCTTTCTGAAAATCTAACCAAGAACACTTAGTTCAGCAAATAATTAGCTTTCGTAGACAATGTAAACAGAGCTCTCTAATGAATGTGCTTAGCTGTTTTTTCCCTGAGCTATAGACACTAATCTTTGTTTGTTCTTCATACTACTTACTCTACCCTGGTAAATATCTAACTGGTACTTAGGCAATGGGGTCTGGACACAGAGGCAGAAGAAGGGACAGTTGGGTAGAGGACTGGAGAAGAAATGAGACCTCAGCAGAAATCAAAATAACATGGGAGGGAGAGACAAAAAAAGGGAAAAAAAAGAAATTTACATGATAACTTTGTTGTATATTTGGAGGGAATGGCAAGCTGTACATAGTAGCTTTGCAGTTTCATGTGCAATCATCTGTTTTTATTATTTTGTGTTATGGAAATGTTTGTTTTGTTTCATGAATTAAAAATAAAACAATTTTTTTAAAAAAAAGTCACACTGCCCAGTAGAAAAAGGGCTAGAGTGGGAATAAGAGACGAGACCTGGGCTCTATGGTTCTGTCATTACAAGTCACATGAGCTCCATGACACCTGTTTCCTCATCTGTAAAATGACTGGGGCCGTCCTAAGCCATCTCCCTGTTTCCTTCCTGCTTTATGAGTCTATGATGGTTAATTAGTCCTGGAAGCTGGGCAAGGAAGGCCATTTCAGAAATGAAATTAGGAGACAATAAGGCACAGTGAGGGCCAGCACAGAGCTCGAACACAATGTAACAGTCTTGCCTTTATCATAATAAATCACGTATCTGCCAGCAGCAAAAATGAAAACAACAATAACAAAAAAACAGCAAACAAAAACATATAATCCCTTCCAAGACCCTGATTTCTTTGTGGCATTCTGTCCAGTTCCCTTCATGGGACAGTCCAACTAAAGCTGGAGAATTAAGAGAAGAGGAAATAGGACAAGGATGGGCACGTGTCTCAAAGAAAAGGAAGCCTGGACCAATGGCTTTTTCCTCTTCTTCCATACTCCACGGCACTTAAAGATTCTTGTGCTAGGCGCTCGAGCACATAGTTGTTGATTGATTGACTGACAGATGGGGGAAGACCTAGAAACTCAGGATTAACAGATTTAATTTTTTTTTACTTGAAGCATAAAACCAATGGAAATTTAGTTTTGACAGCAGCATGCCGGGAGAGGGTAGAAGGAGGAAGAGCAAAGAGTTTCATCAGTCACAGAACAAATTCAGAGATCTATTAATTTACTTTTAATTCTCTGAACATAGATTAGGCTGACATTCACCCCCGGATTATGTGGGGTAGGGGGAGGATATGCACAGGAGTACCATAAAGCCAGATGCTGTGAAAGGCTAAAACCAATCATTTCCATGTACTTTGAAACTCCCCTTAACAGCACTCATTTACATGCAAAGGTGCTAATTACAAATAATTCTTAATATATTCATTAACAGACTTTGCAGCACTTTGTTAGTGTAATTCCATGATCAGGGTATAACTTCTTTTAAAAAAACCTACAAAAATTCAGAGTGGTCTTTCTCTTTAGTTATTCTGAATCCCTGTGGATTATCTTAGATGTGACCTTCAAGGACAGGGTAGGATTGAGATAAAAAGGGAAGGTAAAAGCATTCTAGACAACGGAACTTGGGAGGCAGGTCTCGCTATATCACCTTCCTAGAGGAAGACCATGGTGGAAACATTGGTGGAAACCAGACATCAGAGTCCATAACCCTTTAGCCAAAAAGTGTGGCTTTTTATTCAGGAAACAATGTGAAGCCATGGAAAACTTTAAGAGTTTAGGGATAACCCAATAAAAGATTGTTTCTTGAAGAGAAATTTAAAAGAAGTGAGTACAGGATGGACTGGAGGAGGAGAGAGAACAGAGGCAGAGAGACCAGATATAGGTAAGGAAACAGTTTGACTAATCAATACCATTACTAGGTCTACATTCAAGGATGGGCTGGTATATGTTTGATGACTGTCTCTGAGGGGGAAAAAAAAGTTTAGGCATGGCCCACTTTTAAATTTAATCGGCATTATTACATTTTCTCTATGACTTTCTTAACCATAATCAAACAACAAAACAATAAATCAACCCCTGATCTGTAGAGTTGCAGATTTCTGGAGTACAAATGATCAGACTTAAAACATAACTGCTAGCTGACCTGAGCTGGCTCCAGCACATGGTTGCCTAGACCCCAAAAAGATCAAAGAAGGAGGAAAAGGACCCAAAGGTACCAAAATACCCATAGCAGCTCTTTTTCATAAAAATCAAAGAACAAGTGGAAAAGGCTTGAACAATTATGTATAGGAATGTCATGACATATTATTGTGACAACTATTGTGACATAAGAAATGGCATAAGGGGTGGTCTCTGTGAAACTTGTATGAACTGATGTAGTGTGAACTGAGCAGAAACAGGAGAACGACTTACCCAATAACACCATTGTAAAGATACACGGCTTGAAAAGACTTCAGAATTCTGATGGAGGCAATGACCAGTCACAATTTGATAGGACTAATGATAAACTCTGCTACCCACAT